TTGATTAGGTGGAGTGTTGGGTTATGCCTAGTTGGGGTTTTAAACTCGAGTCCGGTTGGTTGACTTCAATTTTGAAGTTTTTCAGCTTGTCTGGGTGTGGAAGTCTTTGCCCCGTTCACAGATCCTTTCACAGGTACCTAGTTCACTGGTTCGAGCTGCTGCGCGCGCCTGCCTTACTCCGTCGCGGAGCCCTTTCACTGGCCTTTCACAACCTCAAGATATCCTCCAGGATATCCACTCCGGCCCGGTAGCGTATCCCCCAAGCTGTACCCCTATCTCTCCTACTCCCCCCTCTCGATCAGCCACTCGACTTCTCAGACTCTAACCCGGTCGTCTCGACGATCTTCCCGACTATCTTCCCGGCGATCTCCCCTAATTCGTACGTTTTCTTCTGTTTTCTTCTTTACTTTTTTTTAGTAGTTTTACTAACGCTCTTTGCCTTGACTTAGCAGGCCCACTACCCGCGCTCTTGTCCTCTACGTCTATCCCCCAGTCTCGACAATTCTTCTTCCCCGCCTCGACTGTCCACCTATCAACCGCCTCCCGATCATCCACCCGGCTATCGGCCTCTCGATTGACGATCTCCCCGACTTTCTTCTCGACGATAGGATCTTCAAATTAGTACGTCTTCTTAATTTCTTTATTTGCTCTACCTGCTGTTTACCCCGCTCCGATATTGGTTTTAGACTCCGCAGATTCTTCCATGAACCGGCCGCACTGCTTTCCACATCAACTTCCCCGGCATCTTGAGTCAACCGGTCTGCCATCTCTCGTCTTTGTCGGCTTCGACCCGGTAGTGTACACTCTCGACTATCGACTATCCCCTTGCCTTCTCGTCGATTCTCGTCAATCTTCTTTGACGATCTTCTCCTACCTCTTCAAGCTTTGACCAAGTACTTCCACCATTGCTCAACTATCTTCGCTCTCAATTCAACTCTTCCCACTCGATCCTTCTTAATCCTCGCCGGCCCTCATCCGGTAGTGTATTCCCCCAAATAAACCCTCATCGGCCTGGCTCAAACCCACTTCATCACCGCAAGGAAAACAAGTGTACAAGCTAAATAATCGTCTTCCTTTCCTTTGTCCAAGCCTGGGCACTTCGCGGTTCCCTCCTTCCTTTTCGACCCCTCATCTCGCCTTCCTTTTCTGGTGGATACTGGCCACTTTTGACTCAGCCTTTTATATTCACTCTCCCGGGTATCGACCATCAAAGGTAAACCAGCTCCTCGCTTCTTTCTTATGCTTAACTTTTTCAAACCTCAGGGGGGTCAATGGGGTCCCCCTGGAAAAACTCGACTTGGCCGCATTTTTGGGTTTTGTCCGCCTGCCGTATATAAGAGCTGCTTCGTTCCGCCCTCCTTGACCTCTTCCCCAGCTCTTCACTCATCCACAACATCCTCAAGACTCCACACTTTTTACTTCAAGAAACCACCTCCCACACCCTACTTCCCCAAGATGGTTACTACCCGTAGTTCTAAGACTCAAGCAGCCAACGACAAGACGCCCGTCTGTTTGTCCCAGGTACGTTCCTTCTTCCTTCCAACCGTTATAATCCTGATGACTGACTCCATTCTTCTCTTTGTCCTCGATTCAGGCCCCCAATGGCGCCCCGGTCATTCGCTCAGTAAGTCTTTGCTTTTGTCTTGTCCTTGTCCTTACTGCCTCGAATCTATTACTGATAATGTTTTACTTTGTTTACGTTCCAGGGTTTTCAGGCCGTTCTTGCTGGCCCAGCCACTTCCCCTACCGAGCTCCATGCTAACAAGTTCATGGTCTCGGGCCCGGTCTGTCCTTTCACCCCGGTGAATTCCCCAGAGACTAAGGTTCCCGTCCCGGTTTGTCATCTTCATCTTTCTCAACTGCCTCTTGTTCTTTTTACTGATTTATTGGTTCGTTCTTTTACAGATTCACCCGTCTACCGTGGCCCCGGAATCCAGTCATGCCAGCGAGCATGTCGATCCTCATCTAGTAAGTTACAAACTCTATTATTTTAACTCTTCCCGTGCATAATACTAATTCAAGTGCTATTTATTCTTTTATTCCTTTTCTTTAGGTTCAAGAGGGCATCAACTTCTATCCCCTCCAAAGCCGTTGGTCCCCGGCTTTCACCCCATCGGTTGGAAACTTCCCTCCCGGGCTTAGAAGCCCAGAATTTGTCAATCCTAGCTCCACCGACGGAAACTCCGACTCTGAGTCTGGATCTTCCCATTCCTCGGTTTCTGACGGGTTCAGCTCGGGATCCAAGTCTAAATCCAGCGCCCCGGCTTCTGCTCCTCCTTCCATTCCAAACTCATCCGCGTTCCCGTCGCCTTCTTCTTCGGATCTCCGATCGGTTCCGCCCTCCGAGTGTCTACGCCAATCGCCCTCGACCTCAACCTGTCGCCACTGGGTCTGGGAACTCCTACGATGAACGATGGTCGTCAACGACGATTCCGCCTCCGATTCTGGTCCGGACTCATTTACTTCGGCCCCATCACCGAGTGGGGAAACACTCAACCAGCTGCGCCTCAAGGCAACACCGTCAACCCCGCCCATCCGCTCAAGAGATGATGCCTTCGATTACCGCGCCATCCGAGACCAACTAGTCGGCTCCAATCCGTTGCCGTTCGGTACACAAGTATATCGAGACCTTCTCTTCCTTTTTCAGAATGTCGCCAATAATTTTATTCATTTATCTAACAAGTATCCCGCCTCGACTCTTGGCAAAATCTAGGATCGTGTTCAATTCTATCAAAACCTTCAATGGGTTTTCACCGCTGACCGCCAAGTTTTCTTGGCCACCCACTGCGGCTATCCCTAAGTAAGTAGTCTTTTCTTTCATCCTTCTTTTACCAGCCTTTCTTCATCATGCTGACTAAAAAAAACTCTTTTTAGCTTTTCCTTTTATGAATATTCCCCAACTACTAGGCTATAAGTGCCTCTTCCTTTCTTCTTCTTTCCCCATATATATATAAGAAAAAAAAATTAAAAAAATTCTAAAAGAGAAAAAAAAGATAAGTTTCTTTGTTTTATGTACTATTATCAGCCCTCTTGTATATAGGTTTATTTTAAAATCAGGCTTGCTCTTTGTGAGGTGAGGCCCACCCAAGTGTCTTCTTGACCTCCTGGGACTATGAGATCTTCTAAGAATGAAAAAATATTTTGTACATAAAAACTTTTTCTGAGTACTTTGAGTTCTGACCCAGAATCAAGAAACACTCTTGATTTGAGGTAAGTCAAAAAAAGTTTTAATTTTTAAATAGGTCAAAGAAAAAAAAAGAAAAGAAACAAGAAAAGAACCCCCTCCCCCAACTTATATGGTTGTCCTCAACCATAAAAAAAAGAAAAGAAAAGGAGAAACTAACTTGATTCAAGATTGAGTTCATAAGAGATGAATCTCCTCCCCCAACTTATCAAAAATGAGTATGAAACTGATATATTTTTGGTATTTTATGTATGAATTATACTTAGATTTTTTTTTTCTTTTTTTTTTTTTTTTCTTTTGAAATAAAGTCAGAAAGGAACTGATGAAGATAAAATGAAGAAATTATATGATAAAAAAACGAAGAATTTTTAATCCATGTCTGAATCTGAATTGGCATCATTTTTTTCCGAATTTTGATCTGATGCTGAATCTGAAGATGAATGGGAGTCTGAGTCTGAATCTGAATCTTCCTCATCTGCCCTTATTTCCTCCAAGTCCCTCCCTCTGGAATAAAACCTCTTAATATGGGAGGCAGCATAAGCTCTTTTTAATTCCACACCATCCAATTCTTCAAGAATATAAGATCCTCCTTCAAGCTGTTTTTTAACTTTAAAAGGGCCATTCCATCTGTTTTCAAATAATTTACCCCACTGATCTTCTAAGCTTTTATTATAAGTTAAAACCATTTCGCCAGAAGCCAAAGGATTCCGGAGTCTAGCCGCCATTTTTCTATCCCAAAATCTGACTGAGGATTCTCGAGTGTCTTGGAGTTTCTGGTAAGCTATTCCCAAGAGTTCTTCTTTTCTTTCGAGTTGCTGAGTTCTGGCTTCCAATAATTCCGCCGTTGTACTGACTTCCATCCAATCAACTCCCAAATAGGTATCCATTTCGAGGTCCACAGGAAGAACAGACTTTTGACCAAAGACTAATTCATATGGGGAGTAACCTGTTGATCTTTTTGTGGAAATTCTATCAGAAAAAAGTACTAATGGTAAATATTCCCGCCACTTTCCACCAGATTCGCCGCACATCTTGATCAAGGCATCCTTAAGTGGTTTATGGCCTCTTTCAATCATCCCGTTTGCTTCAGGATAGTAGGGTGTTGTTGGTTTGAACTTGGCCCCAATCTTCTCGACTGCACTGATAAATTCACTCTTGGATTCCGGTCCATTGTCTACCGTCACCGTCTTGATTGCGCTGTACCAATAGACCCATTCCTCCAAAAGAAATTTTCCAATTTTTGCCGCAGTCAATTTTTCTAGAGGTGCAGCTTCCACCCAACCAGATAAATTGTCTCGAGCCACTAGTAAATATTTATATCTTCCAGCCTTAATGTGACAGACGTCCAACGCCACTCGTCCAAATAAGCTACTTTCGCCGGTAGGGTTTCTGATTTCTCGAGGAATTAAAGAATCCCTTTTCTGACACGCTTCACAACTCTGAACCCACAGCTTGACCTGCTTCTTAAGACTTGGCCACCAAAATCTGCAAACCAGCCTCTGATAAGTTTCTTCCAGGCCTCTGTGGCCTAGATCCTCGTGGACTTCTTGGAGTAATTTGCACTGATAATCGTGGTTGGAAATGACCAATTGTCCAAGAGGTGAATGTCGTCGCATAAGTCGTCCATCTTGAATGAAAAAGTTGACTGATTATCGTTTTAATTTCCTGAAATCTTCTGGGTCTATCCCCGTTGGTCGTTTTAGATTCATTAAGTAACACTTAAGGTCCATCCAATATCCAGAAGCTTCCCATTCCTTAGGCTCGAATGAAAGATTGGATACATTGATATGAACACAAGCCCTAATAACTGGTTCGTCTTCGTCAAAATCTTCTTGATCCTCGTAAAATTCTGGTTCTTCGTCACTGATTGGTCTTCTGGATAATCCGTCCGGCAGAGTGAATGTACTTCCTTTCTTGTGGACTATGTCAAAAGAAAATAACTGAATAAAAGCCACCCATCTAGTCATAGGCGCATTGGGTAGTGATGGTGAGTTGATCATCTGGATTAGGGATTGTGCATCAACTTGAAGTTCGAAGTGTTGACCCCAAAGATATATCTGTAGCTTCTTCAAAATTCTTGCCACCCCGCAGAGCTCCAATTTAGGTTGTGAGTATCTCGATTCCACAGGTGAGAAAACAATTGATTCGTAAAGCACAGGTCTGTCCAGTCCAGTATCCAATTCTTGCTGTAAAAGAACTGCCCCAGCGGCTATAAAACTTGAGTCCACCGCTAATTTAATTAATCCAGCATCCTTTGAATAATCCAACTTCTTCAAGGTGATTTCTTCCCCAATGATCTCCTTCAATCTTTCGAAAGACTTGTTACAGCTTTCTTCCCAGACCCAGTCTATATCTTTCCTCGTGAGTTTTCTGAGAGGTGCCACAATTTCTGAGAGGTGCCGCAATTTCTGAGAGATTCTTGATAAATATTCTGACGTAAGTGACAATGCCCAAAAATCCCCGTAATTCTGTTATGTTATGCGGAGTTGGCCACGTCTTCACTTTATTTTTCTTCTGAACTGAAACTCGCCGTCATTCCTTACAGACCACGTGACCTACAATGTCCAAAGCTGGGACACAGACAGCAAACTTCTTTCCCGAAATCGTAAGGCCTGCTTCCTCAATTCTGAAAAGAACTCGTTCCAAGGTTATGGCGTATTCCCAGATGAACCGACGGATCCCCGGATTTTCTTCTAAGACTTCGTTGTTATATGTACTAGCTGGACCTTTGATCCCTCCATCATCAATGAAAACTCCTACATGCTCTGGAATTTCATCTTGAAGAATCCACATCATCTGAGCTTGATACACTGCTACTGAATTTGTGGCCCCTTGAGGAATTCTGGTGAGCTGAAATCTCCCCAAAGGTGTGTCAAAGGTGGTTAAAGGTCGTGATTCTTGAGCTAATTCGCGTTCATCGTATCCGCCCATGATATCACCCAGACCATAACATGCACGTCCTGCAAATGATTCGACAAATTCTTCCGTAGCTGGAGGCAATCCAGCATCCTTAATCGTGACTTTATTCATTTCTTGAAGATCGTGGACTATTCGTAATTTCCCATCCGCCTTGGCAACGCAGAAAACTGGACTAGAATAACTGGAAGTTGATTGTTCATATAAGCCAGTCCTTATCCGCTCCCTGACTAATTCTACATAATCGTCTTTAATCGCAGCCGGAATTGGTATTGGTTTCTTCTGCCATGGTTTATGGTCCACTACTGGTATAACGTATGGTAATCCGTAAGAGTGTTTTAGAAGTCCTCTTTCTCCGGTACAGAAAGCTATGGCCTTTTCTCTGATGACAATTAAATTCTTGAAGAGCTTCAATTCCTCGCTTGACAACCATCCTTTTGGTCCAAAGTTCACCATCTTAAGCCGTTCTTCCGTCACCTTCTCAGTTGGTACAAATTCAGGTGGGTTAGGTGTAAGTGGTGTTTCGTATGGGTCCCTCGAAAGAGCCGGTCTTTGAAGTGGTGGATTGAGAGCCTGCGGAATTGCTTCGTTAATCGGCCTGATCTTCTTAGCCACTGATTTATACTTCGTCATACACCAAAGTCCTCCGTCTCTCCAAGTTTGGCACAAGCGTTCCTGAAAAGAAATCCCAAGGCACTTTGACAGCAACGTTTCCATCTTCTTATTGTTGCTTGATCGTATGAATTTTGGTTCTGCCAAAGCCGATGTAAGCTTTGAACAAACAACAGCCTTCTTCTCTGAAACAAATTTGTCAGTTAACTTTGGGGAAACCTCCCCCAACTTCTCAATTTTACCCTTACAGGTCTTCAACATAAGGGAGGTAACCCCATAAAAACACTGGATGAAAAGAAAAATATCCACAAAAAAATTCAAAATTTTACCCGCAGGAGTTTCGTGAGCATCATTCCGGATACTGTTGGTACTAAGGTCCTTCATGTTGTTCCATCCTCTCCCTTTTCCAGTTCTTGCAAGTGGAACTGAAACCTTTCTTCCTTTAGTTCCCTGGAAGCTTAAAGTTTCACCGGTTTCTTGATATTCTAGCGTGCATTCGTAATCAAACAGAAATGGTCGTCCAAGGATACAATCTTGCGCTTTTGGTGAAACAAACAGGTGAGCTGGTCCGGAAAATCTTCCAATCGTTACTGGACAGTTTTCGGCTACCCCGTTCAAGTCACATCTAGCTCCTCCTACTCCTTTCATAGGTATATCGACCTTGACCACTTCCAGTTCTAAGTCCTGGGCTACTATAC